AAGGAAGGGTAGAGTTGGGTCCAGAGTTTTTTTTAACAAGAAAAGTTGGTTTTGTTTAGGAAACAGGAGCACAAGAACATATCTAGACTATAACCATGGAAACTCTGACTAAACATGACAAAATCTAAGAAAAACACCACAAAAGCACGTAAAAACTACACCCGCATAACGTCGAGCTCTCTAAATTTAGTAGACATAGAATTTATGTAATTGTTGTTTTAATCAAGAAAACCTACGTACATAGTAAAGTTTTTTAATGTGACAAGTACTCTGATTTAGTATTCAGAGCTATTTTTGTATACCAAATAAATTTTGGAGAGTGTGGAAAGCAATGATTTTCCATAACATTTTTTGGTATGAACCTTAAACCTTTTGGATATTTGATTGTGGCTACATCTCAGAGATTTGTCATTTCTATGTTTCTTTGCTGTGAGGTGTTTGCACTTGAGACCTCAAATTTGGCAGTCCTGACACAAGAAACTCTGTAAGGTTTCTGTTTTTGGGGGACCTGTGCTTACCTGAAAATGATGTTTACCTGTGAGACCTTGATCTGCAAAAGAGAAAACTATGCTTGAGGTTTTTGTTACCACCCACAACGAACACTTCCTGACTCACCCAGCAATCCAAACCTTGATCCACTCCAGCTTCTTTGGCGACCCCATTGAGCTCGGCTCGACCCCGTGGACGACTTCCATTTGCTATAGGATTCAACATCAACCTCTGCACTCGCACCATCAGTTACATTCAACCCAGCCAACCGTGGAAAGTTCCCGCATCCACACAGTTCACAAATACACTTTCCCACCGACCGCAGCAGACTGTGCAGTGAGAGAACTCATCCAACTGTACATTCACAAAGGACATGCGCCCAGCGACTGCTGGCGCTTTTTGAGGGAAAATTGGCGCGCTGTGCCCGACATCACTTCCGAGCGCCGATTAGCAGCCGTCTGCGCGTGTGTCATACTCTGTTTCTAAGACTCTAAGAGTTACTCATTGCAACACGGGACCAGGCAGGGTACATCGTCGCCTGGTCAACGAAGCTGGCGATGTATCCGAGGATATGGCAGTGGGACGCCACTTCCACGTACCTGTTTGTGTTTGCGGCGTTGACAAGCTGTTACCCCACTCCTTCGAACAAGCGCCACCCAGTCACTCTTTGTTAAACACTTCTGTTGCGCTGACTTCTCGCCATACCGTTCATACCGTTGCGCAAGCCAAGGTCCAGTTGCTGTAAGGTCAAGGGCTAGTGCAGCGGCGAATCAATACTGAAATTTATGCTCAGTCAGTTGAGCATATATATATATATATATATAAGTGTGCGCGTGTGTGTCAACCCTGTTTCCAAGGGATTCATACTCTTTCTTTTTTGATTCAACATTCGTCCTTTGTGTACAGATTTCCGGCAGGGGGCAGTGGTGGTTCTTCAGTCACTGCCTAACACAAACACTGCTGACTGGATGTGATATTTGGAGAGGACGCTCTTTGAACGCACCTGCATTGTTGATATTGTTGAACTGCTATCCAAGTTTTTTGCCCCAACCTCCCATAAAGGACTAACGCACTTTGTTGAAACATTCTGCTTTCGCCGACGGATCACCTTACCGTTATGCAAGTGAAGGTCTAATCTTCAGTAACGCAAACGGCTAACATCATCACTGGACCTTCATAACTGACTCTTGCTCTCACGAGCTCACCATCTAAGTGTGAACTGCAGCGCCGTCCCACCATGGTGCAGTGTTAACCCATTTTTTCGGGCGCCGTTCTCACAGACCCTGAAGGGGGACTTCCACTGACAATTCGTTCTGCCTTGACTGCCCCTGACGGTCCGTTTATCTACTCGAGAGTGCTGACTTAATGCCGCAGGGCCCTCTGAAAACTTCCAAAGAATGACATGCCATTTCCACATGGTTCCCAATCGTTTAACTGCACGTGCTGCTTTTCTTCCTCGGTTTCTCTTCTTTTTCTAGGTCCTTTGTTCGTCGCTAAAGGCTTGCTGTGTAATTCAGGCTTTTTTAAGTCAAGGGGGCGCCGATACGGCTACTTGGCAACGCTTCCTGCATTTCAGCCAAGCCCCCCCCGCCTTTCTCTCTTTTCTTGGCCGCTCATTTGTCAGGCCTGTTTCTCAAGGCTTGTTAGGTTGCCCTTCTTTCCCCCCCCCAACCCACTGCACCTTTCTCTCCTGTGTCTTTTTTTCGTTTGTTAGGCCTGCCTCTCAAGCATTTTTAGATGTCTTTTTTCAGGTTTCTTAGTCGAGGGGAGAGACCACGTAAACATGACCAAGACGCCACCTAAACATGACCGAGACACCAGCGAAACAGTTTTTGTACATGTCGACACACAATTCCCGTTGTACACACTTTAGGTGGCGCCGTCGGATCCACGGCCCCCAGCCTGGACGGTGGTGTCCTGGTGTCTCGATCATGTTTCTGTGATGTCTTGGTCATGGTTGGGTGGTGTCTCGGATTGTCTCGGTCATGTTTGGGTGGCGTCTTGGTCATGTTCACGTGGCCTGGTTTTGTATAAAATCATAGCTGGCTAGAAATTGCACGCTGCATTCAGTGCACCTTTGGCGTAGAAAGAAATTGTGCGTTTGTCCTTCAATACATGTTCCTCTGTGGTGATAATCACAGGTTCCTGTCGTCTGTATGAATTGATATCCTTTTTCGATTGCATTTCAAAATATGTTGGTGTTGGTAGAAAATTAATTTCGCGGTGTGCAATTCTGCTTGCTTCGCACTGCGTTTCTTGCATCGTCGTGTACATCCACTGCTTAGATGTCGTTTTTTTGCTTACTTTCGATAAGCGTCCTCTTTGCTTGTCAATTAAAAAAAGAATGCACTTGCGTTTCCAAAAGTGTATCTTCCCTGGTGCCAGAACTTATCTCTGACAACTGCATTCATTGTACCTTTCGTGTATGACATATTCTTATAATCTGTATAATATTGGTTCCTTCATTCTTTGTCAGAATTGAACTTGCATGCATATGCGAAAATATAAATACACACACCGTCACACACCTCTCCTTGGGTCGAATCTTTTGTTGTGCTGTGTAGAATTGGTTCTTCAGACATATGCACCATGCGCAGACACTTGAACATACAATTCGGTTTCGTGGTTTATGGAAAATACATGTAGCTTGGATGTTGTATAAACTATTGGAGTGCATTTCACGGTTTTGTGTTTTTTTAAAGAATTGTCCTCGATGATCGATATGTGAAAGAACAACGCAACGAACAACGCAGAAAGCTTGGTGGATGCTTTGCTGCTATTGAGGTTGTCAGCTGGGGTAAATATATGTGCATCAGTTTTGCCGTGTTTCTTGCCATTCTTTTGCCTTTGGACTTCGAGATCTTTCTCTTTTCATGCCTTTTTTTTCTTCCTTGCTTGCTCGAAAGGAATCTGTCTCATCATCGCTGAGGTCAGAGCTCCGCTGAGAGCAATCTGCCTGACCACCTCTTGAAGTCAAGATTTTGAGCGATGACATCTCAACATCTGTGGTTCCAGTCCATCGAAGGTTTGGCCTGGTACCACGCAGTTACGGTCACCAAGGTCATGAATGCAGTGCACGCACCCAGGCCGTAGACCTTATTGCGACTTTCCTTCCATCTCGATCTCAGACCCACACCAAACTGCAACAAGCCTGATCTACCCCCTGAGCTTGTAGGTTTCCCAGCCCAGCGTGGCATCGGTTTCGTAGATTTTGATGGCTCCTTCGAAGCGGCAAAGTCCAAGGGGAGCTTGTAAAAACAATACCCTCTGTCACCCTCCAATGCAGCGGCAAGGTCCCCGACCGCGTCCTGTGCAATACCATCTATTGGAAAATGCTCCTGAAACGCTATCTGTCCAAGCACCTGCAGACTGTTCAGCCACAAATGAATTGCCAAACATGATTATATAGTTGTTCCTAGTTGTTAGTTGCAGTGGACTTTAGCCATACATACGCTGAGAATCAAAGCGTGTCCTGGTGGTGCTATTCAGTGGTACAGTTTTGCCAATACATCCAGGCACAGCACAAGAAAGGCACGCAAACGCTTCTCCAATTAAATGTTGGCGTTGTGTGTTGTGGCATGTCATGTACTTCTATATGTGTGTGTATGTATATATATATGTGTACATATATATATATATGTGTATATCTATGTGTATATTATGTATATACAGCACTTTAGCATCAAACACACTTAACTTTGATAGGACCTGAATGGGCCAGGGAGTACTTAGTAATGCGTGTAGTTTATAAACGTCAGTGTCACTAGTTAGTGCGCAAGCATGAAGGCAGGTTCAAGCTGCATCACGACATGCTCACACGGTTAGGTGTTGACGAGTACAAAGTACAATACTAAGCATGCGAAACAGTTGGAGCTTGGCTGGGATAAGTACAGAAATGAAAATGGCAGCGTCAATCCGCAGCATGCCAATATCAATTTCGTGTCGTGGTCTGCTATTCATCAAAAGAGCATGCTAAAACACTCCTTCTGCTTTGCTCAGCCTCGCTGGCGCTTATGGAGATGGAGGTCTGGCAGACCAGGAAGCGCAACATGCAACCAGCCTCGAGAAATGCGATTGTAACAAAAAGGAAATAGTGTTGCAAAAATCTAAGAACCAGATAAATAGTGCGAGGTATTCTTCAAGGAAGCTCTCCTTACTAGCTTACCTCCTCACTTAATTAAGTAGGCGCCTACTCAATTAAGCAAGCGCGGGATGAATATATACGTATACATATAGAGAGAGAGAGAGCATAATATGTTTTGGTATGTTATATATTTAAAAGGAATACAAACAAAAAACGCTATCTTTAAGAATTTTAATGACAACAATAATAACATAAACATAACAAAATATCATTCATGGTGTTTTAGTATGAATAATAAGTCTTTAGATATAACTTAATCCCAAATTGTATAAGCTGTTCTATGTATATGTATATATGTACATATGTCAAGGTCTGTGAAACCAAAGGTCGATTTGCTTCTTCACTCTTCGCTGCTGAGGGTCGTGCCTCACGAATTGAGCGAGTGCTCAGCTCTGTAGCTGGCACAGGTCGCTTGAGGTAAGAGTGCCTAAGGCTGACACAACGAGAACAAATATGTGATATATTTGAGGCAGAAGACATATATATATATATGTATACATAATTGCAAAAGTTCACTGTCATTGTTCATGTCATTTCACAATTGATGCAAGTGGGCCCAACGGAGCCGAACCTTACTGCACAGCATTCTACAAAGTATCAAAGGGTGATGAACAGCGGAAACGCAGTGCCTATGGCGCACGGCAACGAAGGCCTTTTCCAAGGCAGACTCAAGTGGCCACTAAGTTTGGGCCGGTACGGTCATGGAATGGTGACATGTGTGGATGTCCAGGGCACAAGGCAAATCGTTTCACATCCTTTAGGGGGGATATCATGGACAGCCACATCTGTCACTGTTCACTGGCTACACGGCAAAGTGCAAATGAAGCTTCGCTCATGGTCTTGCGAAGCAAGGTGCTATTCCCCAACCTCTTGGTGAGGGGGTCTGCAATCATCAGATTGCCTGGCACCCAAAAGGTGGTGACACCTAAGGCCCGAGCGCTCACATGGATCACCGCCACGTCGATTTGCGCCCTTCTGTCGTGTCCGGCGTTCCCGGATCTCCTGCTCAACAAGTCGTAGAGGGCCTTGGCGTCCGTTACATGGATGCCACTCCGCTTGTCGCAGATTCGGATGCTCTTGACATCCTCAGCCTCTTCCTCAGGGAGCCGCACCACCATCGGTGACGGCTCTGAACCAAGCCTGGTGCCGTCCATGACACAAGTGGCTGGGCCCAACACTTCATGCCACAATGCTCTCACCCATTCCACCTCCGCCAAAGCATCGTCCATGGCCAAAGCCTCACTGCCGAGCGTGGCCTTGATGACCCTCTTCAGCCGGTGTGACTTCCAGCTGTTTATGCTGAAGCTTGCCTTCTGCCCGTCCAGGATGGAGCCATGGGCAAATGCCACGATGAAGCCTCCCTGCGACTTATTCTCCACATTGGCCATTAAAGCATCGGCCACCGTCACCCAAATGCCGTTGTTGGCCTCGATGGGGAGGATGCGCAGGACCTCGTCAGGCGTTTGCTTCAGTTCATTGACGGTCTTGTTCGCCATGAGGATGTGTTCAACCGTCGGGCCATCAGAACTCCAGCTCATGGCCATAGCGCAAGCTGCACCAACATCTGGCCTCGCCTCCTTCCCGATCCAAAGCAAGGATCCTCCAACTCCACGGAGCCATGTGATCTCCTGCTCCGTCAACTTTGAGCTTTTGTCGCGAAGCCGTTCTCGAGGAAGGGTCACTGGCTTCAGTTTCTCTTCAATGTACCGCTTCATGCTCACTTGGACTTCATAGTTCTCGAGCTGTGTGAGCGTGCGGCCAATGTACTCAGCTGAGCTCTTGTAGACGTTGCGCCACTTCCCGAACTTGAGCTTGGAGCGCAACTGGTTCATCAGCTCTTGATGCCTCTGGTTGCCGCCTTGGCAGAAATCATCAACATCCAAAAGCACAACTCCTGCCACCTGGAGCGGTGGTCCATTTCTGAGCTCCTCCTCTGTGGGTGGCAGGTAGTAAAGGCAAGGGTCGAAGACACTTTCCTTGTAGTTGAGCTCGGTCAGGTGCCTGCGAACCGTCTTTCGCCAAACTGCAGGGGCGTTCACCAAACCATACACGGCTGTGAGCACTCTGATCAAGTCTGTGCTCTTGTGCTGTGGAATGCCTGTTGGTGGCATGGATGCATAGAGTGGACCTTCAGCACGTTCATGTGGGTCACTCTGGCCAAAGGCGCTGGAGACATCCATGATGTACAGCTCATAGTTCATGCTGCTGATGACCTGGAGGCAAAGCATGACAGTGGTGGAAGATGGAGTAGGTGCAAATCTCTCCTGGGTCATGGCGTCTGGTCCAAGGAGAATCCATCTGGCCTTAGCCTTCCAGTCTTCGCCCAGTTCACCAGCCTTCTTTGTGATGATGAAGCGGCTGGGCATGATCCGGTGTGGCAGCTCTCGTCGAATGCGAGAGAGCTCATCAGGGTCAGTGATGACCTGGATGGCATTGGAGTTGACCAGGTTGGTGATCTCAAGGACCTTTGCTTTGTCAAACATGGCCTTTTCCTGGGCTGTGAGCTTCTTCTCATCAAGTTCTTTGCCACTTTGTTTGGCGAGGTATGCCAACGAGGACTCTGGCTCTTTGAGGGCATAGTGCATGTCCTTGTGTTCCAACTTGCAGAAAAGCTTGATGTCCCGGTTGTTGGCAATCACTGGAAATCTTCTCTTATCACCCCACTCAGTGACATCATCAGCTCGCCAAATGCCGAAGATCTTGCTTCTGTTGGCAGTTCGTCCATCTGAAGGTGGAGGACGTGAGCTCCAGGCCAGTCTGACATCGGTGAGTCGGGCATCTTCTTGTGGCTCTTGGACTCGTGCTTTCTTGGCTGGCTGTTCAGCCGGTTGAGGAAGAAGTGCTTCATAAGGCTTGCCTGGATCTGGATTTCCAGGTCGTGGCCGGTAGATGAGAGTGGTCTCAATGTTCTTGACTCCAGCGGGGAGCCTCTCATGGAGCTTGTGGACAGAGAGGTTCTCTGTGATCGTCAGATTCTGGATGATCTTGTTGGCGTCCAAATCCAGCGTGAGTCGGCGGACCACGTCACTCCACAAAGGACCGCGTGAGTTGGAGCCACGATACCGCTTGGCCTCAAGGTCGTAGCGTCCAGGCTTTCAACTGCTCATGTGTTGGAGGTGCAACTGGTCCGGCGGACGCTGAGCTCCGGGAGAGTTGATTCTCCACTGTTGCCTTCCACAATTCATCGCCTTCTCTCATGCCCTGTGGCACAACTGCTGCTGCTGGTGCTGCTGCGGCAGGTGTTGCTTGTGGTGTACTTGACTCTTGTGATGCATGAGGTGGCTCTTGTGCTGGATGAGGTTCATCATCGGCAGAGATAGTCACAGTCTTTGGTGATGGCTGTGGTCTCGGTGCTGGCGATCGGGATCTTGCCAATATTGTTGTGGATCCCTTCGCTGGTGTTGTATCTGGTGTCTGTGCACGAGCTGGTGGTGGCGTCTTTGGAGCCTCTCGCATGATGGCCGGAGTGGATGGAACACTCCTTGTCTGTGAGGATTGAACTTGCTTCAATCCTTCAGGGGGTCCTTGCAAGACCGGTGTTTGTGGTGCTCGTGGTGTAGCTGGTGCCCTTGGTGTTCCTGGTGCCTTCCGCTGAATGTTTCCAGCGGTTGGAGCCGGTTGTTCATCTCGGAATGCTGTGTCTGGTGGGTCGCCCTCTTGCTCCACATCGATGAATCCCAGCTTTTCAGGGTGGAAGCGAAGACGTTCTTGGGCTCTCAGCAACTCGGCTGGAATGACCTCCAGTCCTTGAGCTTCCAAATTGCCCATCTTGAACACCTGGGTCTTGTTGCATCGCCATAGTTCTCCACGACGAGTCACCCACACGGTACTTCCTTTCTGCAGGACAACGAAGCACGGCCCCACTTTGGCTTGAGCTCCACGTTTCCCTTGTCTCCAAACGTAGACAGGGTCGCCCTCCTTGAACTCATGTTCTTCTCGCTGTCGTCGAGGTCGGGCTCGTACAGCTCGGTTGAGGCGTTCTCGCCCATCAACTTCCATCAAAGCTTTTCTGGCAGCCTGTCGGATCTCATCAGCTCGAAGCCAAGCTGCATCCGCTGTTGGTGACTGCGTCTGCTCAAAGGTGCCAGCATCATTCAGCAACTCCATAGCAATGCTGGGCTGTCGACCGAAGACCCGTTGGGCGGGAGAGAAGCCGCTCCTGTTGGTCATGGTTTGGAGCGCCCATGCCACTTCGTGAACCATGTCTTGTACTTCTTGAAGATCAGCTGGTTGTCGGAGTTCACGAGTCTTGTAGTAGACCTCCTTAAACAGTCCACCACGGCGCTCAACCGTTCCATTCTGGTATGGAGAGTCACGGTCGATGACAATGGGCTGAATCCCCAACTCCTCCAAGCCTTCTGCAAAAGCACCTTGGAACTCCAGGCCTTGGTCATACAGGAGGAAACTGGGTGCTCCAAAAGTTCTCACCCATGATCTCAGGAAAGAGGACCAGACCATGGCCGAAGATCTCCTCGTGGCATCCACCATGGTAAAGTTGGAGTACAAAGTTCCAAGGCAAGTGACATTGAGGATTCAAATTGGGTGCTCATCCGTCGGCTTGCAGCCCATACAAAGAGCAAATCGACGCCAATGACGAGGTTGAAGTCGTAAGTCCTGGGTGTTGCTGCAGGAAGTCGAGATGGCTGTCGTCTTTCCTTGAGACAACCTTAAAAACTCCTTCATGACATAGTCGATGATGTCGGGTCGTGTGCCTGCAGCACGAAGGAGACGAACAAACTCTTTCATCTGTGGATGTCCCAGGTTGACATGTGCTCTTAGCACCATAGACTTCTCCTGAGTGGAGATAGAGGCATTCTTTCCCTCTTCTGTGGCAAGGACCTGGTTGATGGCCGGGAAGTAGTAGAGCACCACCACAAAGGGGTACTTGACCTCAAAGCGCGGTGTCGCTCCTTGTTGTCCTCGTTCAAGTTGAATCCATCGGCCATCCAGGACTCCTTTTGCCCAAGTCCATCGCAAAATGCGATGCGCCGGTCCAGAACGTGGGATGCTGTCCGGCTTCCGGAGAATCAGCACTGCGCTGTCGTGAAACTTGTGCCAGTGAAACATTTCTTTGTGGTGCATGGAGTCGCACCACTGCTCAAAATCGCCTCGGGTCGGCAGGTGATCTGGTAGTCCACGTTGTCGTTGAGCCCAGTCCAGGATGAGGCCGTCGACGATGGCGTCAACCAACTTTGGAGGATACTCCTGGGCAGCTTGAGGCAAACCACCAATGAGAGGTTCATGTCCTTCAAGACACTTGCATTGCTTTTGCAAGTTCACGGCGATGGAGTCGCAGGTGGTCGCAAACAAAGTGGACTTCCGGTTCAACTTCTGCCTCACTCGAAGGCCAAATCTGCAGAGGTGGGCCTTGACCAGGATCACTTCATCATGCTGCAGGAACTGTTGTACTCGTGGCAATGACCAGGA